TTGGTGGCCGGCCCAGCCTCAAACCATGACACTGGCTTAAGAATCCCTGCTTTTAAAAACGTGGCTAGAAGAGTTTGCCATCTTCTTTCCACTCGTATCAGTGTGGGATTTGCACATCCTCTGCCCCTCTCGTTATCAGTTCCATCTAGCTGCAGAGATGTGTCACAGTGATCACTACAGCATTACATCTGAATGCCAAAGGCTTCCCTTTGTATCTGTAAACAGCACAGGTTCCCCGACCTTCTAATAGAGACCACAGCATCCATGAAATGGGGAACTGCTGCTTTCTCAGTATGCATGGAGGTGGGATTGGCAAAACTTTGGTAGAAGGTTTGTTAGTGAATTGCTGCCTGCAGCTGTGGTACAGCAGTAGTAGTCAGTACCAACTCAAATAACGATTGACTTTCAAGCACTGAAGTCTCAATTATATTTTTGTGGGTAAACTGAAATTTGGCTCGGTATAGGTTTTGTTTGTTCCTCTGTTATTCTCAGGAAGAAAATAAGTTGCTGATGGTTTCCCATTAAGAACCAAACTGGCATTGAATATGAAATCTCTTAAAAATGAGCATAACTGTACATTCAAGGTGGGAAAACATTCAAGGTTATTAGGACTGAGAAGAACTTTCTGGGTCATCAGATCCAAATTGTCCTCCTGTAAGCAAATGCATTGCACTCATTTGAGAGAGATTATGCTCTATCTAAAATCACTTATTTTTCATCCCCATACACCTATTATGAAACTCGTAAAGGACTTAATTCCTTTGGTATTCAGAAACTTCCTTCTAGTTTCTGTTATAAAGGTACTGCTGGCCTGTCTATGTGTTAGTTTTTATGATATCACACATTGCCCATTAATTTAGGTAATTCTTCTCCATATTTTGTGTATGTTGGTATATTCATAGGCATCAGTCGTGTCCCTACCCAAGCCTTCATTTTGCTAAAGAAAACTTTTTCAGTCTCTTCCTGTTTTTGTCTATTCTCAAGTTTTTCCATGAGCCTCAAAATTTTATGGAACGCCAGACAAACCAACCCTGAAATCAAAGATGCCGCAGACTTGACCATTCTGCAGAGAAGGATGCATAGCATACCTGCTTTTCCCTTTTTTCCAGAAACCCCTGCTAAGCCTTTGGCTCCTTTGTCACCTGATGAAAGAGGAAAATACATTCTCAGATCTCAGACAGTACAATGTCAGGGGAGTGTATTTGAAAAACCTGTATAATAATATATTAACAGTGTGCTTCTGATAGGAAGCCCTGATGTACTGTACTGGCAGATGTGCCAAGTCAAACAAACCATGATTAATTCTGGTGTATGGAAATAAGGAGAACCCTTTAATAGCTAACTCACTGATAACACAGGCATCTTGTGTGCTGCTGGTTCCTGGTACCACTTACTTTTTAAATATAAACTGCAAAATGATCCTGAGAGGCTGAAAGCACTCGAGAAATCTGTGAGGTAAGAGCTGGGTTCTCTCATTGCCTTGCAGAACAGAGCCCTTCTGTTCTGTACTGAACCCTTCAGTAGCTCCGTGATGGGATGAGGGACCAGATGAGGCTGGTGTGCACTACAGCCACTGAATTCATGTGTGCAACAGATTCCGTGTGTGGGCAGCAGTTAGCACCTGCACGAAATGAGGTCAGTAAGGAGCAGCATTTAATTTCAGATACAGTTCATGGAAATGTGGTTTATTTTCATTCGACTGCTTTCCTTCTCCTCTGGAAATCATAAAAATGGTGGAAATACTTCTCCAAATGTGATGCTACAATGTAAGCGGAGGTGACTAGCTTTTAAAAAAATCTCCTATATAATTTGGATCAGGAACAGTTGGCCTTTAGCTGAAATTCATGTCAGCTCTTCTTTTATGAATTAAAACCTTCAGAGGTCAAAAAATACTAATGCTTGCTCTGCCTTGTTGATGGCTGTATTTTGATGTGCTTTTTCCTTTGTATGATTGTGGGTTTTTAAAAGAAATTAGGAGTTGGCTGTCATTTTAATTAGCATTGCTTGACACTGCACACTTACAAGCTGAAATTTCAGGGCAGCTTCATTAAGAACTTGAATGTTTAATGGTAGATTTAAACAGTGACTTAGTGACCTTTGCTTCTGCAAATAAAGAAAATGAGAAAAACTAGAAGGGGACAGTAAATTGTACATTCAGGTTGAGAGAGAGCTTGATTTAAAGGCTCAGAGCATTGGTTTACTTACAGATAAAGATAAGGAATTTGTGAGATTCTTAAATTCTAGTCCCCTTGGTGATTGAAAACATCTTGGGAGATGACTATCTGTGTTTTCAGTTGTCTAGGTACTTCTGAAAATTAGTCCCTCGGGCCAGATTCTTTTGTTCTTCTCTGATACTGAGGCTGGCTAGAGGCCATCAAAGGTTTATTAAAAACATTGGCTTGAGAAGCTCCCCGGAGAGACTGTTCCACCCACTCACCCGCATGCCTGGGTTGATGTGCTGCTTGGAGACCACAGAGTTCCTCTGGGGATGGTGGAGTCCCTGCTAAGCTTTCAAGGCAGGTCTCCTTGTGGCAGGTGGCAGAAGTATTATTCCTTCTTAAGTAGCTCTTTAGGAATACTGGAAAGGAAAGCCTGAGCCTCTCCTCCAATGACTAGAGAGTGTAATTTAATTAAATTATTGTCCAGGTGGGCTTGGAGTCTACCTTGATTTGCAAGTAGTTGTCATCCCTGGTTACACGAGTGCTTTGTTAAAACTCTAAAAATCCTTTCCTTACCGAGCTGTCCTGTGCATTGCTTGCTCACATGTCCCACGGCAGTGCAAGTGACAAGGTGTGGCATCCTGAGCAGAGGCAGAATATTGACTTGGGCCTTCAGTGTCCAAAGCAGAGGCACAAATTTGGCTTTCTCTTTCAGAGCGTTCAGAAGATTTACTTCACAAGGGCAGGATTTGTCCCTTCCTCTTTTACCATCAAAGAGGATTGATTTATTAACTCATAAGGCAAATTATTTTAGCCAAGAAAATCAGATATATTGCACACGGGAAATAAAACTAGAATATCTCAGTTAGCTCTCGTCACCAATCTTTATGCATAACTTTATTTGGAGAGCATTGGTCACAGCTGTTATTTGATATTACTTCATACCTGGAACTCTCACAAAACACATATTTACCTTGAGGGAAAAAAACAAGAAAATTCCCAGACCAGAGCTTACCCTTTCCACCAATTGGACCGATTTTCCCAAGCATTCCCTGGTCACCAACGTCCCCCACAGGTCCTTTGTTTCCTAAGAGAAGAAATAAAGAGAAAAAGAGTATGGATGGTTTCTGTCGTTTCTTTCTCAAGGCACTATTTAGGTCTTTACTGCTGCTATTTTTCCTGAGCCTGGCCAGTCTGCATGTGTGGCAAAGTCGAAATGAGTGAAGCCCCAAGGATGGCTAGAGGAGGACAGTACGGATCTCTGCTACTGTAGGCTACAACAGTGGGACATTGCAAGGCACCTTAGTAGAACTGCCTGTTCAAATATCCAGAAATGTCATGTTTTCTTACAGAAAATACAAACTTAAACTGCTAGTGAGTATTCAAATATTGATTTTACTTCACAGCCAAACCAGGTTTCATTTGGGTTTTTTATTCTCCACCCCAGACAAAAGCCTTTCCTTCTTCCTTGAGGTAAATTCCTCGTGGCTTTGCTGGGAATCCTTCTCAAAGCACGACTGCAAATAGGGAGCTACTAGTTTTGCTGTATGTGCTTTCCCAGTCCTCAGAGCACCAAAATAATGGATGCCTTTTTAGGTGATTAATAGCCTAAGTTCTAAAATAGCTGGCTAATGGTGACAGCCCAACTTAGGGAATCTCAGTTTGCACACTGAATTTAGCATCACTAAAATGCTTTGTAAATGGCTGGTTACCCAATTCCCTTGTATCTTACCTGATGATCTTTTTAAGGTAAGAAGCAAAGACATATGAACACGTTTAAAAATGGGAGAGGTTGTTTTATTAGAACAATAATAACAGGGTGATATTAAAGTTTCTATAAAAGTAAAAACTTTCCTGATTAGTTTTAAACTGTCAAGGAAGAAAGACTGTGGATATGCATTATTGTTAAACTCTTAGTGATGAATTAAGCTTTTGAATTAGAGTATGCAAACAAGGCTGACACCATCACATCTGGTGCCTCCGAATGCTCTGCCCAGCTCACACTGTGGACATGAGATATGTTTAATAGAGCAAAGTCCTGAGACATCTGCAACTCCTTGTTCTCAGCTCAGATGCTGTTTGATCAGAGGAACTTTGTTTCTCAGTGCATGCCTTGCTGCTTTTCTGCAAAACAGAGACAACTGAGACCAAATTTTGTTGAGCATCCTGATGTATTACTGAGAAATAACTCTCAAAATTCAGTTTCAACTAAAGGATCATTTCCGTAAGAGAACAGTAATCTTTCTGATTATACATATGATCTGGATCATGATTATACATATGATCTGGGTCTTCTGGATCGCACTCATGACAGCCACTTGGGAGAGCAGCAGTACATGTACTGGTTTATTACATGTCTCGCGAAATTTATTGCCATGTACAGCTGTCTTACGCGTTGGTAGGAATTGCACCAAGCTCTCTGAGTATTGTTAGTTTCACTGATTAATGTTTTACAGGATTGTGAAATCCACTGGTGCAACAGGAATGAAAAGCATTAAACATCACTGGCCATATGCACCAGTACAGTTGTGTATAATGATATTCATATACCAGTAATAGCCAACAAACTGTCATAAATACCTTTTGGTCCTTTTGGTCCAACCTTTCCTTGTTTGCCCACTTCTCCTCTATCTCCTTTTTCACCTTCATCCCCTTCCAAAAAACAGAAAATAAAGCATCATGGTACATTTTTCTCAGTGCATAAGTGCAACTATACCTCCCCAGAAGTATGGTTCACAGGTTTTTTTCCTACAATTTTTTTTTTGTTTCAGATTGAAGGCACAGTAGCCATTCTCTGGATTTATTTTATTCTCTGGATAAATTTCCACATTTATTCTCTGGATAAATGTCCAGAGAAAAGCTGATGAAACTGACCGTCATTAGGAAAAGCTTTTTTTCAAAAAACCTTGCCCTTTTGGAGAGGCTACTCCAACATGAGAATTATACAACATCAATTTCTAGTCCTACCCTTTAAGCCCTATTAGCTATAAAGCAGATACATAAGCCAGTCTTTCTCTGTTGGGAAACCTGTACACATGGAAGAACTGCTAGGGGTGGCAATAGGAATTTACTAATTGTTCCTAGTGACTCTGTTCGTAGTGACTCTGTGTTCAAGGTATGCAGATGCTTTTGGAATGGGAAGAATGTAAATATGTTGAAATAGATCTTAACATAGACCTTAGCACTTAGTATGGCAGAAATCTTGCCTTCAGGTTTTGACAGGTGACATTTATATGTTGATATGAAAATACGTGTTTTGCAATTACTCCAATGCTTTATTTTGAAAATGTCACACACCGAGCAAGAGGTAAAGTCATTGCATTTATCGCAGTAGTGCAGAGATTTCTCCAAATGAGATCAAGACCCTATTACACAGGCTCCTGTATAGTACTGTGTAAGTACTCTTGCTATTGTAAGAGACAGGCTCTCACTGAGCAGCTCACAGTCTAAAGGCGAAAGACAGCAATAAGCGGGAAAGAAATGTTATCTCCTTCCTTAGGTAGCATACAATTTCACTTCACAATATGCAGGAAATTGGAGGCACGACTAGAGTTGAATTTTTTACTCTTCTACTTCTTAGTTTTGAGCCAAATATCAAGAACATCTTTCCTCTTTATTTTTGTTCAGACAAATGCTGAAGGGGGACAACCCCTGCACCCCTTTGCGCCAAACCACCAGCACTGAACACAGGCAGCCTTCCAAAGCCTCTCCTCCGTCCCCTACCCTTGTCTGCAAGAAGCCTTTCCGTGCGGTGGGAAGCAGTGCCACAGCCTGTTGGCCAAGCCAGGATTTTGTCAGCAAAACAGGACAGAACAGCGTTACGTGACGAGACCAATAACCTGTCTCAGTGAGAATGGTGCCTCCAGCCCTGGCAGAAGGTGTTCAGGGAACTGGGTGCGCTGAGGGTGACTATGACCCCAGCAGCCACTTCCAGCCTCTCACGAGCAGTGGTTTAAGGGCTTGCCTGAGCCAAGCACTTCATCCAGACCAGTCATGAACAGCCACTATTTCCCTGCACAAATTAGTCTTGTGCCTTTTAAACCAATTTATATTTTTGGCCCCTGTAATAAATATCCTGTGTCAAAGAGGTCAATGATTTAATTATGTGCTGAGGGACAAAGTAGCTTCCCATGGTTGCTTTAAGACTGATGGTTTTCGTTTCATTGGCTCTCATTTTCTGAAAAATACTGCCCACTCATTCCTGATTTACCTTCTCCTACTTCTGTAGCCATAGGTAACATATCACGGGCTGTTGTGTGGGGTGATGACAGCTGAGAAGTGGTGCATATTAATTGCAGCATATAAAATGTAGAGTTAGATGTTTGGCTCCTTTCCATGTCAGTTATGTGGACTGGGCTGAGTCTGTCCCTGTATGCCGAAAAAAACTTCAGTGTTGGGACTCTCTTGTGAAGGGCAGACTCACCCCATCAGTCAGGATGCCCTCTGGGGGGATGGTCAGTGGTCCAAGCTGAGGAAGATAAAAGGCTGAACTTCTGTCCACATTAGAGGGAGGAAGCATTTGCTAGAGGGACAGACAAGGAGGAAACAACGTGGTGTGTTTTCTGGCTCACTCAGGTGCTTTGTTTTTAACACCAGCTACAGAACAACGTAGGAAGGGAAAAGGCTATGAACAGCTAGCAATAGAAATTTTAAACATCTCTGTTGTCACTTGTTTTTAAAAAATACCAGAAAAGTCGGTATGTATTTCCAAAAGCCAAGCTCCTTAAACATCTAGTTGAAGCTGTGGGTCTGAGCCTGGAGCTGATGGAAGGATGGCTGCTTGTACTGGGTTCTTGTCTAGAGATCGTCTAACAGCAGAGCCAGAGAATATACAGTTTAATTTTGCTGTTGACCTCAGTGCCAACAACATTTACAACTAAGAAACCAAGAATTTGTCCTTGAGAGAACTGTAAAAGTCACTTCTTAGTAGTCAGAAATTCAGAAAAGATTCTCAGAGGCTGACAAAGGGCTTGTGAAATGAAATTCCAGGAGAAGGTTAAGAGCAGATCTGATCCTGGTCTGCAAACACATACAAGGGGGAGAAATGTGAGGTAACAGAAAGGAAGCAGGGTGTGATTCAAAGGCTGGAAAAGCTGGATGAATCCTGACTAGAAATGCAACATGGGAATGTTGAACAAATAGACCATGCTCTCCAGAAGGGGAGGGAGAAGTAGGAGGCTCTTCATGTCCAACCTTTTCCTGTGCAATTAATTCCTTTATGTCAGATCACTGTAACTCTGGGTCTGGTGTAGAAACTGCTGAGGGAGTTTTTTTGGCCTGTGTCACACAGGAGAGCAAAGCAGGTTCCTGCTGCCCTTCCAAATCAGGGGACCGCCCGTCACCCTGGCAGTCTTCATCACCTCTCTCAGGCCAGCTAGTTACATTCCCCATGGCTTGCAGACTGCTCTGTTGGGTTAAAGGCTCTAGAGAGACTGTTGTTTTCTGCAGAAGGAAGACCTCTGTGTGAGAAAGATGCTTTTTTTTTTTTTTTTTTTTTTTTTGGTGAGAAACATTGCTTAGACAGTTAATCTTAGAAATAGAGCCCAGGAAAGAAAGTCAATACACCAGTGGAGAAGCTGTGATTACTTTCTGAAGGTGTTTTCTTCCAATCTCAGTTTCAACATTTTGAGCCACTAAAAGCTGCAGTGTTTTTTTCTGAGACTTTGGAGCAAGCTTTTCACACACAGGGCTGCTGGAGATGAAGCTAGGTTGCCCTGTGTGGGCCATCAGACTGAGAGCCAACAAATGAAAGGGGTAAAAGGTGTGAGAAAGTTTGTTCTGAAGATTTTGAGAAATTAAGGAGTGTCTCAACTTTTATTGCTAATACCTCATGTAGTCCCAATTTTTCCTCATGCCTCTAAAAACCGAAGGGAGAGGGAAGTAAGGTCTATCATCTGTTTCATATTGGCACAAAGCAGCCTACCACACTCTGACTTAGTTTCCCTACCTAGAGAAATGGGAAGAATAATAATTTGCTTATCTGTAAGGGAGGGAAATACTGTTTTTCTCCCCATATTGCATCTGAGAATGGGTAGGCCATTACAAAGCAAGGGTAGAAGCAAAGAGTATTAATTAGTGGTATCATCTCATCGTTAACACTGGATTAAGCCCAGTGCTTGATAATATGGTGTTATAATTGTAAATGCATTGTGTCCGCCTTTAGCTGTTGTGTGCCGTGATCCCAAATTTTGGCAAGAAACGTGAACTCTTAGGTTATGCTCCCCCCTTGTGTCAGCGCTATGATTTGCAACTAGGTAAGAGGGATTGTGAGAAGTCGGTTGACTGTTTTGGGCAGGGGTTGAGTTGGCGTCGTTTCTGATTTGTAAGTACCCCTCCGTTTCCTCTGGGACTTCATGTGGACATGCCATCCCACTGTATTAGCCACCTTTTTGTAATCTACCAGAAAAAAAAATCTAAGTCCTGCCAGTATCCTGGACTGGGCTTTTAAATTTTGTACTACTGTGCTTTGTGCAACATGAGTTTTCTCACAGAAAAGAACTCCTCTGATGCCTCACCTCTTATGCTTGTAGTCTACACCCAGAGATTACCCACTCCTTTGTGCTGCTTTATACTTGAGGCAGTGTCAGGTTAAGTTTTAACCTAATTAGCAGATTTTTCACCTTAAAACTGTGCTTGCAAGGATTTCAGATAATGCACTGCATTGGCATCTGAAGCATGGGTGAAGCACATGGGTGAAGCACTTGAAACATGGGTAGGCCAGTAGTTGAAGCAAGACCGTTTCTCAACTTGTTAGTATTTCCTCAAGCTGATTCACTTCTTCTGTGTCACAGATTTAAAATACTAGACTATTAAAGTGAACACATGGAACAATAAATTACTAGACTCTTCCAGCTTGGGACTGTGCAAGACAGAAGGAAAGCAGAAGCCATCAGCAGTAAATTGCTTTTGCAGCCTTTAGAAAATTTTAATTGTAATTGAGATGGAATCCAAGTCCTTCCTTCTCCTATAAACAAGCTCAGAAAAATGCTGAAGGCCTAATAATCAGCACGATTTTTAGGCAGTTGAAAGAGTCTCTGCCTCTTTAGGAGTTTCACTAAATAACACAATGTTGAGAGGTTACATTTGGTAAGGATTTAATTAGTAAGGATTTACTGACCTTCAAATGTCTTAGTTTCCCTGCTGAATATTTTGTAGGCAATTTATCGGGTTTGTATTCACGAATGGAGGAAGTTTTCAGGTTAAATTGTTCACATATGTTTAGTGACTCCCCAAGTCTTGTGATCAAGGGCTGACCCTGGTTCTTGGAGAATCAGGTTGTAATCCCTGGGGATTATGGAGCCCACACGTATCTGCAGACGCAGCCCTGCATCAGGGTGAGAGGACGTGTGCAAGAGTCCTAAAGAATAAAGCCGAGAGGAGACTCCTAGCAGGGCTAGGAGTGCATGTGTCTCTCTGGGAGCAAGTAGCATCCAGCCTTTTCACTCAGAGCTCTGCTGACAGACTCCCTGGGTCCATGCAGGGTTTTACTGAGACACTTCACCAGGTCTGCTGGCAAGTCATGGCCCCAGGTCAGCTCCAGTTCCTGTCTCCTGACCAAAAATACTGCAGAAACGTTAATTCTCGCTAAGCCTCTCTCCTGCAGTGAATCAATTAAATTGTTTCCTCTGAAGCGAAAGAAGGGCAAAGACCCT